ATGAACTCGCCTGTTTGTGTTCCCCCGGCCCCTCTCTCCTCCCACCGCCCGGGGGGCACCGTATATATCCATCCCTCCTTGCCTGCCTCGGGCATTTCGGGGGTTCCCCCCGCCTGCCCCCCTTGCCCGCCCGGGGATGGAGCAAAGAGGGAAGAGGACACGGGACGCTCTTCTCGGGGCCCGGCTGGTCCCCCCCGTGCTTTTGCTGCCGCTGCTGCAGCTGGTGGGGGGGGCTCCCCTGGGCCAGAGGCTGTACCCCATGCCGGCCAGCATCCTGCAAGGTCAGTGGGGCACAGGAACGGGGTGTCTTTGCGGAAGAGTTTGGCTGGAGATGGGGTGGCTGTAGGAGACGGGACCCTTGGGTTCACCCTAGCGTGCCTGTGCTGCCTGGACTGGGTGTCAAGTGCCGCCAGTGGCACTAGGGGACACAGGGGATGCAGGGCGTGCTGTGGTTTATGCTCTGCGGCACCAACACTCCCCCTGGTCCTAGTAACTGTGCCAGTCCCAGGGGACCCTCTGCCACAGCATGGCCAGCAGGAAGGTGGCTCTGCGTGGGTACAGCTGGTCACAGGTAGGGGCACAGGGGGGGATGCACACATAGGGCAGTCACAGGGACACATGGGCTCGTGCAGGGACAGAAAGACAGGGGCACCGGTACACACAAGTGTGCACTCAAAAGTGTGCACAGAGGCACACCCGCCTGGGCTCACACCCTGTAACTGTGTACAACAGGCACACAGAACCCCGGGCAAACACCCAGGTGTGCATGTGCCAGTCCCAGCAGGGAAGTGACACCGGTGGCTGTCACTCTAGGTAATGTCAAGGGGTGACAGGCCATGCCCAGCCTGACACTCACCATGGCAATACCAGAGCACAGGCACCAGGCAGGCTGGGGGCATCCCATGGCTGTGGTGGGGGGCAGCGGGGGGGCTCTGGGGGTCTGAGCACCCTGTGTGTACCCATCAGCACTGTCAAGCCGGGGGACACTGGTGCTGGAGGCGGCACTGAGGAGCGCATTGCTGGCACTGGAGCGGGCACTGTCTGAGCAGCAGCGGCAGTGGGGTGCCTGCGGGCTCTGTGCCCCCTGCCTCTTCCCACCTTGCGCCAACACCACCGGCCACTGCCCATGTGAGTCATGACCCCACTGCCCTGCCCCCAGGACATCCTACCCAAATAGAAACCAGGATCCCCAGCTAAACACAGCCCAGGGGTCCTATCCAAAAACCATCCCATGCCCAGAAGATCTTACCAAGACCTGCATCCATGCCTGGAGGTTCTACCCAAATATTTATTTGGATGCCTAGATCATCCCCTAAAAATCCTATTAAAATGATACCCCAAGATCTTATCCAAACCATACTCATCTCCTACAGGCTTAACCTACAGGCTTTTTCCAAAACAGTGCCCAGACTCCTGAAACATATCCCTAACTGCTAATGACCCTTCCCAAACAGTTCCCATCATATCCAGATCTTACCAACCACCTGGAGCCCTATCCAAACCATTGCCTGATCCCTTGTGAACTTTTCTGATATTCACCCCAAAAGCATACCCCTGTACCCAGAAGACCTTAACAAACATGTTGACTCCACAGCCTATTATGCTCCCTTCCCACGCATCCCAAAGCAGAGACTGGGGTGGCCTGGGCAGAGGAGCACAGGGAGGACACAGTGATGCCCACAGCCCTGCTGTCCTTGCAGCTCCAGCTGTGCCTCCTGCCATGCCCCCCAGCTGCCAGGCCCTGCTGGCTGCCCAGGCGCTGCCCGAGCTGTCCCAGCGCAATCAGGCACTGAGCCAAGCCTGTGCCCCCTACCAGCGCCTGTGCCCGCCTGAGGGGGCCCTGCACACCTGCGCCCCACTCAGCACCCAGCTCTGCCGCCACCGCCTCCAGGAGTGCCGTGAGTGGGCACCTGCACCCCCCCAGCTCCTCCCAGAGATGGGAGAGCCTACAATAACAAATGGGGTATCCCCAGGGGAAGGGATACGGGGTATTGGGGTGACAGAGGGTGTTGGGATGGAGTGGGGAGATGGGGGTGGGAGTATGATGGGGGATCTCTGGTGGGATGGAAGGCTAGGAGATGGATCTGGGAAGGAAACTGGAGATTTGGGGGACAGAGGTATTTGGAGGGATGAGCAAATTGGGCTGGGACATTGAGGGGCAACGAAAAATCTGGTGGGAGAAGTGAGCAAGGGGAAACTGGGGAGACTGAGTCACTGGGGGTGATGAGCACTCCCTGGGGTGGTACAGGGGTGTTTGTTGGGGCCGATGGGGGTCTGGGGGCACTGAAAGGAACTAGGGCGATTTGAGGACAGCGGGGCTGTGGTGGTGCCATCGGGGGAGATTGCCCCCACATGCCATGACAGCCTATCCCTGCAGAGACGGTGGCCGCAGCCCCGAGTCCTGACGCAGCAGCGGAGGCGGCAATGCCAGGTGAGCCGGAGCGGCCCC